CAACATGGATATGTTCTTATGAAGACTGGTTTAATTCAGGTATATTATTTGATGTGCATTTTATTTTTACTTTCTCTGTTCTCATGTTGTTTTCAGCTCTGCATTTTATATGATTTATTTGAACGGTGTCTTACACAGAGATGCTGCTAATTATGTACTTAATAATTATCTCATGTTAATGAGCTGCATTATTTTGTTTTGCTTATTAAGACTTCCAAATGACTTTATACTTTGGGATGGAATTTTTTAACAGAGTAAGGGTTTACTTTGCTGACTGAATAGCAATATTGGCATAGACTTCAATGGTGATATTGCTATTCACACTGTGCAGTGGTAAGCACTCTTCTGATTCTGATTTGCACATTCACATATTCCTCCCACTGATCAACACAATTATAACCAAATCTTCTTAAAAACATGGAGCTCAATGCAATGTGACTTACTTACAATTGCATCGAACATCTTACAATTATGCATCTCTTCTGTTCTCTTTGTCACATTTGTTAAGTCTTTCATCTATACCAGTGGTTCCCAACCCAGTCCTCAAGTACCCCCTGACAGTCCAGGATTTAAGGGTTACTCAATTGTGTCTAAGGTGTTTGTGGGAAAAAAACAAAAAAACACTTTAGACACAACAGGGTATTCCCTAAATCTTGGACTGGTAGAGGGTACTTGAGGACTGGGTTGGGAACCCCTGATCTATACGCATATTCTCATATATTAATAATATCAAGTATGTATATTTACTGTATTTCTTTCCCCTCCAAGCCAAATTCCTTCCTGCAAAAGCCATGTTCCCTCTTACTGCTAAACCTCCCTCCCTCCCTTCCTTTACACCTGAAGAAGTCCTCTGGACCATATGCATTGGCTTTTATCTACTGCAGTCTTCCACTGTTGTTGTGTCCGTGAGGCAAGTGCTTTTTCCAGAACTCTAGCTCTCTAAGCTACTTATGTAAATGCACACTGATTGACAATACGAGGTATTCACCAACCAAGAACCTAACGACTGTACCAGCAATGTATATTCCCCTTAACTGAATGCAGCTTAACAGTGGTTTCAGTTGACTCAGTTGTTCCTATCACTGAAATTGGTTATTATAGTCTGCATCTTTGAGATTGACCATTTTCAAATCAGGTTGCTCTCATGTGTTTCAAGTGAGTTTGCCACGAGCTCCTGAAGGAGCCTGCTTGCCAGCCTCCTACCCACAGACTATGGGCCCTGCAGGGAAACCTGTAAAAGACTACCAAACTTGACCGACTGTTAGCACTGATTTCCCTCGATACGGTTTTGGGCATGGGGCCATGCTTGTGGTCAGTCAAAACTATGACTTCCAGGAAATTCCTGAACCGATCTGGATGATTTTTGGATATGTTGTTCACCCAGATCGGGGCTATCGGGGGATGTGACTATGGGGATATGTTGGATTTTGGGGTACTTTCTGAACTTTTTGCAAATGTGTTTTTTCTGCCTGGAGATAATTGAGTTACTAACAGGACTTTACTCAATTATTTCCTAAGCAGAGAGGAGGGATTGTGTGCTGTACATGGGTGTGTCACAGACTGTATGTTTGTTCTGATTGGTTTATGTCCTTTGTGTTCCTCTGCCCCATCAGGTCCATGGGGTCTTCCTCTGGCCTGGAAAATTGTATAAAAGGCCAGTGTGTCTCATTAAATTTGGGACTCTAGCTTACACTCCAAAACTGTGTGTTGTCCTGTTATTGGAGGGAAAGAAGATTTACTCCTGTGTCTACTGTTCCAGCTTGCAGGGGATTCAACGGGGAAAGTCCTTGTAAGGACTAGAGCTAATTCCCCATTCGGTTCCAGAGTTCCCAGGACTGAGTGTCGTCCAGTGCCTGGAGGTGTCAGAGCTAATTTTCTCTTCAGATCCAGGAAGGAGGTGGCAGTTCCAAGCCCCCAGTCAAGCTGAGGGCAAGAAGTGCTGCAGTTTGTCCCCTGTTCCAGCTAGGAAGTGGTCCTCTGGTGGAGGTACCCAGTCATGGTGCCAGATGATCCGTTACACCCTCCATGTGTTTCATCCTCCCCCCAGCTCTTCCATGTGTCGCATCCTCCCACCTCCTACTTCATATGTCTCATTCTTTCAATCCAGTCCCTTGTATATCATTCTCCCCTCCCAGCTCTTCTATGTGTCTCATCTCCTCCCATGTGTCTCATTTCCCCTCAGCCCCTCCACGAGTCTCATGCCTACCCAACCCCTCCATGAGTCTCAACTCTTTCCAGCCCCTCTATGTGTCTCAACCCTCCCCAGTCCCATCCATGTGTCTCAATCCCGCCCCCAGCATCTCCATGTGTCTCATCCCCCCAGCAACCCTGCGACCATTGTAGTTACGCCACTGTTTGTGAGATATATTAATCTCACAGCACATGTATACATATACAAACATTTAGAACTTATAGCAGAGCTGCAATGCTGAGACTGAATATCTCCACTGGAATCCCCTGGGGCTAGAAAGGAAGCGCTGGTTAGTGAATATAGCCCATTCCCCCAGTAACTGGACAACACACAGTTCTGGGAGTCAACTAATTTTTTTAGCCCACACACAGCTTTTTATACACAGCCCCATAGTATGGGGTCTCCAGGACAAGTTTACAAGAAATTTTCCCACTGGGTTTGAGAGATAATTAAGCTGGGAATTTTAGATAACTCAATTATCTCTCAAGTAGTGATGTCCCGAACGGTTCGCCGAACAGTTCGCGAACGGTTCGTCACGAACGGTTCGCCACGGACTCATCATTGAGTAAACTTTGACCCTGTACCTCACAGTCAGCAGACACATTCCAGCCAATCAGCAGCAGACCCTCCCTCCCAGACCCTCCCACCTCCTGGACAGCATCCATTTTACATTCATTGTGAAGCTGCATTCTTAGTGAGCTTTCCAGGAGGTGGAAGTGTCTGGGAGGGAGGGTCTGCTGCTGATTGGCTGGAATGTGTCTGCTGACTGTGAGGTACAGAGTCAAAGTTTACTCATTGATGAGTCCGTGGCGAACCAGTCGTGGCGAACCGTTCGCGAACCGTTCGGCGAACCGTTCGGGACATCACTACTCTCAAGTAGATGAAATATATAACTTTTATAAAACACCCCCAAAATATAATAAAAAAGTACAGGGACCCCACAATTCTTATATCCCTGAATAGCCTGAATCTGAGCACACAATATATATGCGAAAAGCGCTCAGATTGGTTTGGTGGAACGAGATCGCTATTCAGGAGAAGATTTCACTGTCCGGCCACAAGAGTTCCAGAGAATCCAGGGCTGTAGCTGGTCTTGGTTCGGGAGTTCCTGCATGAACACCGACAAATGCTCCCCCTGGCTTCTAGGTAGTGAATGCTCCCCCCAGTCAGTAGATCATATCTCCCGAAAGTGGTTTGTGTAGTTGTTCAGGAAAGTATACAGGCAGCAGTACCATCTTGAGCGGGGTTTGCAAGAACGTGTAGCCGAAATTAGTTCCACGCACTCTCCACCAAGTACCCCTGCTTGCGTTCGGGAGACAAAAGCACTCAAGTACTCCTTAATTGCAGTTAAAAGCCGAGTGGTCTGTGTTCTAAGTCAATAACGGGGGGGGGGACCACACATGTTCTGTTCGGTTTCCGAACAGGGGGATACAGATCTGTTTGCAAGTACTCAATATGAGTTCGGACAACCCTAGGGACTGATGGCAGGTCCGCCACAGAACTGAAATTTAACTTACTTTATAAAACTTACTTTATCAAAACCTGTATTCATTTTAGTCAAATATTCTGGTTAGACAAGCCTCCCATTACCAATGCAAAAAGCATTTTGCAGCCTTAAATAAATCCTGCCTATTTTCCATATTAAATAGCAGTGCATTAAAATGATTACCTCATGTACCCACAGGTGAAAATAAGTGTCTGGACCATTTTCTTTGCTAGACCTGATACTTCAGTGCAGAAACACCTGGGTCTTATTACAAGGCGATGGGCTGCGAAATCCTACAGAACATTAGGTCTTATTCCAGTCTGTTAATTGAGGGGGTGATGAAAGGGCTATGTGTGTTTCTAGTTTCTGCAGAAGTGATAGCCTCAACTAATTCAGGAAAAAAAAAAGTTTAACTGTTTTTATTTGTGTTAAGATAATAAAGCTGTGCACAATCTTACACAGCACTAAAAACAAAGGATTAAAAAAAACCATTTAGATATATTTAGTAGTTGTAATAAAAATGGAGGCTTCTCCATGAAAACCAGTGTAATGTTCCCAAAGATTGCTTCATGCTTAAAACTTTGTCACATAATTGTTCTCTGATATGAGTTTAACATGCTATGGTCAGGTCAAATCATATTCAGAATGCCTGTTGAAGTCTTTAACATGTCTTTAAAAAAGTTAAAAGTGGACTTTGAAATACACCCAAAAGTCTTACTTAAAGGCTTACGCTATTTGATAAGGCTGTACAGTTTCAAAGCTGACCCTGTAGTGCTAGCCCTGTGCTAAACTACAGGCATACTCACCGATAATGGTAACAAAACACTTAAATCACAATAAACAGAAAATAGAATGTACACCCTGTTCCAAATTATTATGCAAATTCTATTTAAGTGTCACAAAGATTAAATATTTTGTTTTTCAGTTTAACTCATGGATGGCATTGTGTCTCAGGGCTCAATCTCGGACACCTGTGATAATTAGATTGCTAGGTGAGCCCAATTTAAGGAAAAACTACTAAAGGAGGGTGTTCCACATTATTAAGCAGAGCACCATTTTCGTGCAATATGGGGAAGAAAAAGGATCTCTCCTGCCGAAAAGAGTGAAATAGTTCAATGCCTTGGATGAGGTATGAAAACATTAGATATTTCACGAAAAACTTAAGCATGATCATCGCACTATTAAGAGATTTGTGGCTGATTTAGAGCATAGACGGGTAGTGATGTCCCAAACGGTTTGCCGAAAGCTTCGCGAATGGTTCGTCACGAACGGTTCGCCGCGGACTCATCATTGAGTAAACTTTGACCCTGTACCTCACAGTCAGCAGACACATTCCAGCCAATCAGCAGCAGACCCTCCCTCCCAGACCATCCCACCTCCTGGACAGCTCACTAAGAATGCAGCTTCACAATGAATGTAAAATGGATGCTGTCCAGGAGGTGGGAGGGTCTTGGAGGGAGGGTCTGCTGCTGATTGGCTGGAATGTGTCTGCTGACTGTGAGGTACAGGGTCAAAGTTTACCCAATGATGAGTCCGTGGCGAACCGTTCGTGACGAACCGTTCAGCGAACCATTCGGGACATCACTATAGACGGGTTCGTGCAGATAAAGGCACATTGAGGAAGATTTCTGCAGATCCATGCATCAGATCAAGAGAGCAACTGCTAAAATGCCATTACATAGCAGCAAACTTTGAAGCTGCTGGTGCCTCTGGAGTCCCACGGACATCAAGGTGTAAAGACCTCCAGAGTCTTGCAAATGTTCATAAACCTTCTATCCGGCCACCACTAACCAATGCTCACAAGCAGAAATGGCTGCATTGGGTAGAAAAATAGATGAAGACTAGTTTTCAAACAGTCCTGTTCACTGATGAGTGCCGTGCAACCCTGGATGGTCCAGATGGATGGAGTAGTGGATGGTTGGTGGATGGCCACCCTGTTCGAACAAGGCTGCGACATAAGCAAGGCGGTGGTGGAGTCATGTTTTGGGCTGGAATCATGGGAAGAGAGCTGACCAGCCCCTTTAGAGTCCCCGAAGGTGTAAAGATGACCTCTGCAAAGTATGTGGAGTTTCTGACTGACCACTTTCTTCCCTGGTACAGAATGAAGGACTATGCTTTCCATAATAAAATCATCTTCATGCATGACAATGCACCATCTCATGCTGGAAAGAATACCTCTGCATCAATGGCTGCTATGGGGATAAAAGGAGAGAAAGTCATTGTGTGGCCTCCATCCTCCCCTGACCTCAATCCTATTGAGAACCTTTGGAGCATCCTCAAGCAAAAGATCTATAAGGGTGGGAGGCAGTTTACATCCAAACAGCAGCTCTGGGAGGCTATTCTGACATCTTGCAAACAAATTCAAGCAGAAACTGTCCAAAAACTCACAAGTTCAATGGATGCAAGACTTGTGAAGCTGCTATCAAATAAGGGGTCCTATGTTAAAATGTAACGTGACCTGTTAAAATGTTTAAAAAGTTAAAATGTTGTTATAAGTTTGATTGAAATAGCTTTTGATTTCAGTAAATATGCTGCAAACACAACAAATGACAATTTTCAGTTCTTTACAACCTATAAAGTGTTTTGAAACTTACTGTGTGTAATAATTTGGAACAGTGCATTGTAAGTTTTTATGTTTAAAAAAAATACTGTTATCATTAGGAGGTTTGTTCAATAAAATTTGAATTGTACTCTTAATAGTTGATAACATGAGAATTATGCTGACTGTTATTTACATCAATTATTTAGGTAAATGAGAAAAATATAATTTGCATAATAATTTGGAACAGGGTGTAGATATGTGACCACAATTTTAATAATCTTCCTGGACACAGTTACACACTAATGTGATGCTGATTACGTACATCAACATATATTTTTCTAACACCAACTTTAACAATACTTTGTGGCTTCAGGATATCATGATCTTATTAACCATCAATCAATAGGGAAAGGTATATAGAGCAAGAACAGAATATCTATCATGTTCTACTGATATGATAATTATCTATCTTAGTGTTATTGTGCTTTAGCCATGCTGGCCTTATCAACTGCCTTCCACCATCTCACATGTCACCACCATCACCAAATGTGATACTTTAGGCAACTGATTCAAAATCTTTTTGGGATGAAGATAAAATAACTTTAAATGATGGAGATGTCCAGAAAATTAATTAGGAATCGAAATAGAAAAAAAAGTAATCACATTATTGTGTAAAATAAGAAGGAGAATGTAATACCAATGCTTTTTTTATTATTACAAATCTTCTGTTTTATGTTTAGAATATTAAGAATGTAAATCAAAGGGAAATAATGAAATACAAAGGATCTGAGCTACACAAGGATGAACACAAACCAAAGACAAAGACTGACTGGGTATGACCTTGAAGGACTTAGATAAATGGACTTGACCGAGAAAGAGAAAGAACAGACTGATAGAGAAGAGACATCTCATTGGGGCCATCTGCTCCCGGAACTAGACATATATGGTCTTAAGTGTCGTTTTAAGCATCAAGCAATTCCTGAGTCCAAGTAAGCCAATTTTAATATAGGATATATAATATGACACCTATAAGCTTGAACCTTGGAATCAAAGTAAATTATTTTTCTTTTTTTTCCCACATCAGAAATTGGTCTTAATTTATGCCTCTTAATCTCAGAGGTAGCTTAGTCAAGTCCCAAATCATCATTTGTTTCTTAACCCCTCTATTACTTCGATCAAAGTAAATTCTATCACAGACCTAACAGGGATAGCTACTGATAAAGGACATCCTTAAGAATTATAGGTAGGAATTGAGATAACATTAGGCTAATTTTAACCCACAGGAAGTCACATTGTCAAGCCCTCCCACTGAATCCTATTGTCTTGAAGCTTGTGATTACATCAAGTGAGGATATTACAGTCTTGATTGCAGCTTGGCTTGTAAGTACTAAAGCAAGACCTTGTGTAGCAACCATTTTTTCTCTTATATACTGGCCGTTGGTATTGATGGATCAGTAAAATGACATTTTCTGACATAGTCATAGATCTGAGTTTGTCCCTGGAAGCTCTATCAGGGATGCCTACTGGTGGTATAGAAATAATGGTTCTGATACTGATCTAATGAGAAAAGAGGTAGACTATTAGCAAGCACATTTTAATTCAGGACTTCATCTGCCTTAATTTATTAGAGAAACTTCTGTGTTAAGCCCACTAGTTGTTGCTCAAGTGTGGCCACAGGAGAAATTAGAAATAAGCTAAGCAGTAATCCATCTTTAAATAGTGTTTAATAGTTCTGTTGCACTGTCTAGTACCACTTCTGCTTATTTCAAACTGTGTTACAAACAATAATGCAAACTCTTCTTCTTCATGATGACTGTAAAGAAAATGCATATTTTGTATTTACTACATGTAAAGACCCTCCATATTTGAAAACAAAATTGTAAAAATTAACAGTATGTAAAAAAAAAATATAACTAAAATAATTGTGTTACTTTAAAGAAAAATAAATAGTAAATAAAACATGTACTGTTTCACTTGCCCTGCGTTTGCAAAATGTGGCCAGTTAACTTGCTAAAATAATTTCAATTTGTGACAAGAGCAGGCATCCAATTCGGAAAGCCACATTATCCAGTCTGGATTTACACAGAAGTAGAATATGTTGTAATGCAATTCTGCCAGGGTGCCACAGTCCAGCTAAACAAAAGGAGAACCAGCAGCAAGACACAGGACCATGGGCAAGAACACAACAGGCAAGCCTGGAGGATGCATATCTTCAAACAGGAGAGATCAATTTAACAAAGGCACTTAGCATAAACCATGAGAAAGTGGGAGTTTATTTACAATAAGTGCCCATATGATGATATGACTGTCACTCCATCAACCTACAGTTTCCTACTGGGAGATCCAAATGGTAAAACAGAAGACTAAGTTCAAGTGCTAAGCAAAGAGACATAACAACAGGTCGCAAAACTATAGCTGAACAAATGCATATTAAACACTCAGAACATGTGGAATAGTTAAATATACAAGAAATACATGAAGAAATACAGAAACAAATTTGGATCGCGGGGAACTAGCTTCAAAACTGCTGCTGTCGGCTGGGCGGAAGCCTCACAACGTGCATGATTTGCATTCTGATACTGTATCTCAGATGATTAAATAGAAACACTGAGTCATTGTCTACCCAAATCCATATATCATCCCTTACTCTACAGTGAAAACAAAATCGAGCATAAAATGCCTCTATTTATGCTTAAAAAGAACTTTTGAATGGGGCTCTTTGAGGTTCAACTCTTGCGGTGACAAAGGTTTAGTTCCACTGTTCAAATTAACTAGCGAGTGGGACCATAGTCTCCTTCTTAAGACTGGCTGCTCTGTATTCCAAGAATCTGTTTCTGTAAATTTATGGTGGCATAGGGCAACACAAACTACTCCAAGAATATGTCTGCTCCTCAAAGGCGTTAATGGATGAAGATAAGTGAGTTCAACTGAATGAGCACTAAATCTTCTCGTGTCAAAGCTGAAACATTTTAATTAGGGTTTCCAGAATCACAGAAATTACTGCAAATCAGGGTGACCCTTTCCAAATTTATTTGTGGTAGCATTGCAAAGTGTGAGATGTTTTATGTACCACAAAACGATTTAGAACATACTTATTCCTATAGTATAGGACCGCAAATGTAATATCTAGTATATATGGGAAGGTGCATAATGTTGTAGGCTAGTTGATGCAGCCACATTGTATCACAGTTTTCTCTTTGTGCTGTTATTTATTCATTTGTGCTAGTTCTTTGTAGTTATTAATGAATGAAACTGCAACTGTGCTTCACTGGAAGGTCCATGCATTTATTATTGTTCCTCTAACATGGATGAATTCTTTGTACGTCTAACTAAGCACAATCTATTAAACTCTTTAAAACTACTTTATTCCTTGTCAGTATGTATTGGTGTGTTATTAGTCTTACAATGCTAGATTTTTATGATATTATTTGAACAAAGAAATGTTAAAAAGAAAAGATTAATTTAGGCCAGTAGTGCACTATGGGGAAATGGAAATCACATTCTGACAGGGGAGACCACATAACAAATGTGAAGGGACATCATTAGGTGTAGTGTGGGTGACCCCAAAAGAAACATGGTGACCACATAGACCATATTATATGTAGAGGGTGCACTGAGATCACCAGTGATACAAGACATTCAAATGTACAATGGGGACCAGGAGAGGAACTGGTTTGCAGAAATGGGAAGTGCACAAGAAATTAAGTGAGGTTCACAAGAATGTCAAGAGGCATAGGAGACATTATGGACAACATGAGAAACAGTTGAGACAACACGAAAACACAAGTGTGTCAGAAAAGCCAATGAGGACCACCGGCAATGAGAGAAACAACCATCAGGGACATGGGTAACTATAATGCAAATGTAAAACTTTAGAAGTTATGTTTACAATGATCTTATTCACAATATATACTACAGTATATGACTGTGTAGGTAATGATCCTGCATT